GATAAGCTTGCACATTAATTAGCTTAGACAATAAACTCTGACCATAGTTGCTATATGTCCTTCCTGAGAAGGCTGAAGCACTTGACTTATACCATGTTGTCTGTCTCTTAACAGACACTGAGGAAGCATCATGCCACAAAGGTGCAGCTATATATGATAAAGACACATTAGCTGGCCTTTGTATAACTACATAAGGAGAGATTCTACTGTGATTGATAACAAGTGAGAAAATTCTAGTGGTCCAATTCTGTGAATGGGGAAGATAAAGTTTATATGTAAATGCAAAACACTCTGACTAGCCTAAACAAACTTAAATAAAAAAAAGTTAATCTCATGCCTTCAGATTTTAAAACTTAATGTGACTGTAGATATCAAAATAATTTGGTGTTGACAAAAGAAAAGAGTATGCCAATGAGGTGCATCTTAAGTCAAGAAGTAAATCCATACATCCTTGAACAATTTATCTCTCACAGATGAAATTAAAAATTAGTAAGAAAGCAATAGTCTCAATAAACTTTACCCAATATCAAGACACAAAGCATGAAGTTGTATATTGCATAGTAAGAAATCACCCACAAAGAAGGTTTTTGGTATACTTAACACAAACAGAAAAGTTATTATAACAAAATGTGAATATGTTAATTTGATTGGAAGTAGTAATTATTTAACTGAGTTTATATACATACAAACTTCATGTAATATGCCTTCAATAAAGTAAGTAAATGAAAATGAATTGAATTCCCATAGAATACTCTTCATCACCTTAAGTATAAATGATTAAAAACCTAAAATAGCAATCAATAAAATAAAACTGTTAAAAGTTATGAACTATTAAAAACAAATAAAACTACACTATTTACAGGAATATGGATGAAGGATGTCATAGTAAATGAAATAAACTACATATAGATTTTAGGTATCACTTGTTTCTAGTAATATTGGGCTTTAGTAAAGGTAAAGACATGAAATTAAATGGGTGACTATTAGGTGTATGGGTAAAAAAACAAGCTAGGAATAATATAGGGTAATTAGGGGTAACAAAGGAAGAAAATATGAAAAAATATATTGTGTATGTGAATGTTTATGTCATGATAAATTTTGTGCAATTAACATATCTAATAAACCCAAATAAATTATGTAGACCTGTGGTACTACAAATGTTTCTTAAATGCAATATAAAAACGCATAGATAAACAGACTTCAGAATTACATATTTTACATCAATAATGTTAATTAAAATGTGAAAAGTCATAATTGAGACATGGTTCTGAGGTAGAGTCCTTAAATGGTAATGGTGACAAACTTGACTTGATCATAAGCACTGCAAATTGAACAAATGAACAAGTAAATGAATAAGAAAAAAAGAAAAAACTGGAATAGGAATAAAGGTTTTAAATAATATATCTTATAAAGGTATACATAGAGAATACACAAAGAAAAATGCACTAAAAATAAAAGACACTCAGTTAAAGTATGTGCAAAGCATTTGAATATGAATTTTTTCAAAGACAGTAGTCTTAAAAGTATATGAGATGTTCAAAATAATTAATAGAGAGGATATATGCAAATAAAACTAAAACTAGACACTACTTCACAGCAGTTAAAATGTTATGTGTATATGTGTGCATATATGCGAGTGTGTGTGTGTGTGTGTGTGTGTGTGTGTGTGTAAACTAAGAGCAGGGAATAACAAGTTTCACCAAAGGTGTAAGGAAATTGTAATCCTTATAGTTTGCTAATAGGAATGAAAAACTGGGTAATATTATAAAAAGTTTGATAATATTCAAAAGTTAATCGTAATTACTTTAGGAAAGAGTCATTCTCCTACTACTGAGGTAGTCAAAGAATAGGAAAAATTCCTTCACACAATGCTCATAGAAGCATTATTAACAGTTGTCACACAATTAAGCCAATCTATGTGTTCATCAACTAAGAATGAATTAAAAGACTTTGAAGTAATGGATCAGCTTTCAAGAGCACTTTCTAATCTTGCAGAGTACCTGGGTTTAGTTTCCAGCATTCACAGGGCACTTTGCAGCCAGCAACAATACCTATTTCATATCTGATACACTTTTCTGACTTCTGTGGACCACAGGCATGTGCATGGTTTATTGTATTATGAATAATTAAAAACCTGGAGACAGACTTTGTTGGTTCAAGGTGAAGACCAGAAAAGTAAAGCGGCCAAACACTAAAGAGTTCTCCCCACTACCAATGCTCGGACTAAAGAGGTGAACATGTCCATTGATTGAACTCCAAACTGCACTGCTCCTCAACATGGCTGAAGACTAACTGTCAGCTCCGAGACCCTGCTCTTGTCTTATATACATCTCTAGTGCTGGGATTAAAGGTGTGAACGCTGTTTCTCATTGAGACTTATTCACTCTCCCTTAGCTCTGGGTAGCCTTGAACTCACAAAGATCTATCTCCCTCGGTCTCTTGAGTCCTGGGATTGAAGGTGTGTGTCACCACTGCCTGGCCTCTATGACTGTAGCTAGCTTTACATTCTTATCTGAGGCAAGCTTTATTAAATCATACACAATATCACCACAATTTTCTACCATAAATGTAGGCAAATATACATATACATAAAATTAAACTTGTTTTAAACAATGAGTGATGGAAGATTATACAATAATTAATGGAATATCAATACATGCTGCAGCATACATGAGCCTAGTCAGTACAAGGTGTCCTGGCTCCTGTTTTCTCAGCATGACACAAGCTACAGTCATCTGAGTGAAAGGTACCTAAATTGATCCCACAGAGGACACTCAGTAACTACTATCATCAGGGACATAATTCAATTCCCAACTACTCACTATAGAGCATCAATGCCCAAGATATTGAAAAATTTCGACTCTAATTTCTGTATCTCCTGTAATCAAGAAACTTACAACACCCCACCCCATCCCCCCACACACAAATATACATAAAACTTAGTTCATTCTATGTTCACTCTATTGTACAGGGTCATAGTAAATAAATTTAAAAATGAATTTTCTTGTTTATAAAAGATACTACCATCAGACATACAGATGAAATTGATAGATTTTCATATGGACAGTGGCTTATTTAATAGGTAGAAATACAGGTTTCAAACATGAATTTGAAATCTAAGATATAAGTATTATTGGCAAACACAAAACTATCATAGACTTATTTAAGCAAAAGATTCCAGATGGAAGGCTGAATGAAGAAGAAATAGGGTAGGAGAGTAAGAGGGAGAGAGAATGAGAGAAACCATTAAAAGCTAATGCATTTGAAAGAATGAGGAGGGATTTATAAAAACAGTATTTGGAGATAATAAATTTAAAAATGATGTGATTATAATCTCAAAAAAATGGGTTAATTTAAATGTAAGTGCTAGTAACAAGACTGAAATATCACCCAAGCATCTACAATTACTATTGAATTTTTAAGTGATTATTTGTGAGTGGCCACTGACACAGCACCTGCAAAACATGGCAAAATAAAATATAGCAAGATAAAATAAAGAACATCACTTTAAATTTGGACTAGTAAATCAAAATAGAAGGAATAGATTTGAAGAGAAGGCATAAGAATCAGAAACCCACTTGTCCACACACTCTCAGAAGTCCCATAAAAACACTAAACTGAAAGCCATAATATATTATCAGAGTGCCTGGAGCAGACCCATGCACACCCTGTGCATTCTGCCTCAGTCTCTGTGAGTTCATATGAGCTTTTCTCAGTTGATATAGAGGGCCTTCTTTGCCTGCTATATTCCGTCTCCTCTGGCTCTCCCCCCATTTCTGCCGTCTTTTTCACATGGTTTTATGAGCTCTAATGGAAGGGATTTGATTGAAACATCTATTTAGAGATGTGTGTTCCTAGGTCTGTCCCTCTACTGGCAATTATTAACCATGACAATGTTTGGCAATACAGGTGGGAGCCATGACCTATCTGCAAGTTGCTTGAGAGATATCATGGACAGCGACATTGAACTGAAATTCAGGATCTAAGCAATTAACAGTTAGTTGGCTGAACCTTGAACCTTATATCACAAAAGTGAGTTTAAGAGTACATACAGAAAGTCAATTGCTGAAATGTTTTTGTAGAGGGAGTTGTCTTCAATGTTATATGTCAGGCTTTTTGCAAGTGAAAAACTGGGATCAAAGTATTTCATGCCTGACCTTGGTATAGCAACAGACACGTGGTAACTTGTCCTTGAGCAATTCACCTACAGGGCAACTAATCTATTTTGGACTTGCTCTGAAGTCTAAAATCAGCTAATGGTTTAAAAAAGCTATTTTTGTAGCTGAGCATGTAACTATTTTCCTATGTCAGTCTAAGCTATGAAAAAAACATCTTAGTGTTATTTCTAGCCATCAAAATTATGCAGTTAAGAAAATATCTTCCTGACTATCCACAAATATATGTGGGCCAGTAGATGAAATAAATATACAAGATAAGCATGCAGGCAGTGATAGAAATACCCACAGATGATTATAGGGAAGAAATGAACTGGAACATAAGAAAAATTATAGACATAGGTAAGCAGTTCTCAGAGTTTGTGGTCCCAAGCATTGCTTGAGAAGGTTGCTGCATGAGAGAGTTGTTCATCTGCTGGATCAATACCCGAATTATTAATTGTCATCTATTGTATTTATGTCATGGCCCATGACATGTGTCAGCATATCAATGTGTCTAACAAGCTTCTTTTGGAGTTGTCCGTTTATATCAAATATATAGATTAATGATTACAGTTGATTTTGAATATAATATTAAGAGTTTGATGATAGAAAGTTTAAAAATAAATACTAGTCTATTTAAAAAGTACATTAATATCCTCAGAGGAATATTTTCGAGAAGACCAAAAGAACTCATAGCTATGATTCAGAATACAATATTTTTCTTTTCCTATACAGTATAGTTGTTGCAGAAATACAATAATCTGTTCTTTATTTTAATAGCATGTATAAGAAAAAATGAAAAGCATTATTCATCTTAGAACTTTAAAAATAAATCAATATAAACTATTTTGCCATTAGCAAAACTTTTGTTAATGCATTCTTAACCTCCTTGTTTCTCAAGCTGTAGACCAGAGGGTTTAGCATGGGTATGATCATGGTGTAAAACACAGATGCGATTTTGTCAGTGTCCATGGAGTGACTGGAGCTGGGTTGCAAGTACATGAATATAATTGTCCCATAGAAAATAGATACTGCAGTGAAGTGTGAAGCACAGGTGGATACAGCCTTTCCATAACCAGCTCTTGATCTCATCTTTAGGATAGTGACAAAAATGAATATATAGGATATCCAGATAACTAAAAGAGCAAAAAAGATATTGAAGCTCACTGCATAAACAAGAACCAATTCACTGACATGTCTGTCAGAGCAAGAAAGAACCATAAGTGCTGGAATATCACAAAAAAAGTGATGAACTATATGAGCCCCACAAAAAGAAAGACTGAAAGTGTCTCCAATGTGGATGGAGGCATTCAGAAAACCACAAAAATAAGAACCTATACAAAGACATACATACACACTTGTAGTCATAGTGGTAGCATAGTACAGGGGCTTACACACTGCTGTGTATCGATCATAGGCCATTGACGCCAGGAGATAATTCTCAACAGTAGCAAAGGCAACAAAAAAGAACATCTGAGTAGCACAGTCATTGTAGGAAATTACCTTGTCTCCTATAAGAAGCCCAGTCATGACTGTAGGGGTGACAGCTGAAGAATAACAAAAATCAACCAAGGACAAATTTCCTAGGAAAAAGTACATAGGTGTATGCAGCCTAGAGTCCAGGACAATAAGGAGGATCAATCCCAGGTTTCCCACTATGGTGAAGGTGTAGATTAGGAGGAAGGTGATGAAAAGGGGAATCTGTAGTCCTGGTTCATCAGTGAGTCCCAGTAGGAGAAAATGTGTCACATATGTCATATTCTTCATCAGTGTCATCTTTTAGTAATAAGATGGTCCATAGCCAGGGGGAAAGAGGAACATGATGATAAAGAAGCTGAACTAAAATAGAAAAACGTAAGTGAGTAATACGGCTTTTGATCAACAATGTGTACTTTGAGATTGTCTGGTAAATGGGCTTGTGCCAAGTCAACTCTGATGTTTTATTATTACAGAGAGTTATATATAATAGATTTTAAAGATTATTAATGGAGTGCTACCCAAATTTAAAATTTTGTTTCCTGTATAGTCATAATAGATGGAGACTATTCAATAATGATAAAAAATAATGTGTGGATAATCTCCAAATTTACCTCTGACTCCTTATATCTCACTTTATTTGTTGATCACTTTTCAAGAACTACTCTAGACAGGCACTTTAGGTGACCACTCTGTGAATGGCCTCAATGACATTAGAACTTGCTTGCCTGTAAATTATGGAGCACAAGAAATTGAATAATTCATACATATTACTAAAATATGAAATGCTAGTCTGTGCTTTGAGTCTGTGGTTTTATTTAACCCTTGCTGATTCTCAAGTATCAGAATTTAATCAGATTTTTTAATTAAATTGAAAATAACATTAAACATAATTACATAGCTTTCTTGGCAAGAACCCAAATTTTTTCAGTTAGAGTTGTGTTTCTATTTCTAAGCACACATTTCTGTTATAGTCTTTTGTCCCAGAGTACAGGGCCCAGGAATAAAGTGCCCTATAAAATAGGTACTTTGGCTTGCAACTAAGTTCATTTTCCTTTTTTCTTTATCTGTATTTGGACACTGTTCTAAGCATACATTATCAGAAAGTCAGGGATTTCTCATTCTTCCTCTAAATCTTTCTTCCTCTTCCTTGATGGTGTGGCTTCAAAACCAACATTGCTGAACACAGAACATAGACATAACTCAAAATATATGACCTTCTCTCTTCCTTTTCTCCATCTACCTATTAACAGCAGCTGCCAGATTTGAATCTTACATGTTCAAACATCATTATGAGTTTATTTCTAAAGTATCTTACTAATGAGACTAAGAACTGAACATGGATGCAGGGTATCTAGGTAAAAGATGTAATGTGTGTATGTGTGATTGTGTGTGTGTGTGTGTGTGTGTGTGTGTGTGTGTGTGTGTGTGTATGCACAGTAGATATGATGGGGTAATTTAGGTGATATTAGCGACTTCAGCTTGATGCAGTTCTGATAGCTGCAGGCAGATAATCATCAGCTAAAACACACACAGAGTTTTGGCCCATCCACTGTATAGGACTCATTAGTCCATACTACCTTCTCTGACCACTGAAAAGTAAACAATGTTAACAGAAAATTTAGGACACTTCTGTAAGAAGACAGTAAAATGTTGATATTGATCCCATCCAAGGATGTTATGTTTTCATGTTATGATTGGATATGAGAGTGGTCTACTAGTTTGTGCTGATTTGATGTACATAGACACTGGGAAGCAGGGCTTCACTGCAGGTGATATTGATCTGTCACTCCTCATGCTGTCTTTCCTCCTGCAATAGCACCACTGAGTGTCTATCCTCTTCAGAGTGTTCTTCCTTCCTCTGAAAACAGATCACTGCTCCTACAATTACCTGGAACCCTGTCTTCCTTGAAAATCATATTTTCATTTAATGAATGTCTATTTTCCATTAACTTATTCTTTCCTTCATCCTGTCACAGCACACTAAAGTCACCAATACCAAAATAAAATTGACAGTTCAAGGGGCTCTCTGTCTCTCACAGATCTTTTACAAGAGCTTTCTATGTTATCAAATCAATTGATATGATGTGGCTGTCATATAATAACAATGGTTCAATTTCTATATTTGTTTTGTTTCTTTTGATACCAATGTTTATTTTACCAGGTAGGCTGGTCCTTAATTCCTAGGATAAAGCTAGCCTCCTACCTCAGCTTTCATAATGGCTGCAGAAAGAGTAGTTTGTTTATTTTGCTTGAGTTGAACCCTTTGAAAGGATATCTACCTAAGAAAAACACTTATTACCCACCAGAAATCTCCTGAAATTCTGAATATTTTAGGTTATAAACCTATATTTGAGACTACTTTCAGAAAATTTTGTAGTCTACAAATAATAAGAGATTTGAGCAAGAATGTGTAACTAGGTGTTATTACTATTGGTTTCCGGAGCTATTATCATTGAAGAAATCCAACATTTAAGAAGTTACCAGTATTTCTAAAGTAATTTCTTTACCTAAAAAAAAAAAAAAATTAAAGGTATTTTTAAGCCTCATGTCTGCATTAAACCAATAGTTTCTACATTATTTTAATGTAATGGTCATCTGTATATGATTGTAGACAAACTGCTAAAATGTATAAAGTGAATCATGCAGTATTTTTGAAATTTCAAAAAAAAAAAAAAAAAGTTTACTCTCTTGTTTTGTTGCATTCCTTTTCTGTAATAATAGTAACACAAATAGGAAACAGACAAAATCCACTAATATTCAGTATGGCTTGGTTCTCTCAAGGTTCATAGATGTGATGTGTTAAGATGATACTTAAACTCCCTAAAACAAAAAGTTTTTAATTCGTATCATGAAGCCACTTAGTTTTTTTAAGGAACTGTTTTCACCCATCCCTTTGCTTTTAATATAATTCACAGTAAGTCCTGTTGCCCAACTCACTTTCCATAAATTTCAAGTCTCACTGACAATGGTTATGCAAAATACAAGGCTATCCTATCTTTGAAAGAAAGAACAATAGCTTCAATAGTGAGCATGATCTCATCAAATTAGCCAGAGAATGCTGATTACACAGATCTTTGTCAGGTAGTGATTAAACACTTTGATGCTGTCTGAGACTCTATAAAGTCTTCATATTTGCCTTACTTAGAAAACAAAAATGAGAGGGAACTGGGATTTATATGTAAAACAAGGAAAATAATTTTTAAAAAAAAAGTTAAAAAAAGAAAACAAAAATGAGAATATCACATATCTCACAAAATTTATCACTTGTTTCTTAAGAAAAAGATGACAGGTATACATGACATCATATCAATTAATTGTTTGTCAGTATAGCTTTTACCTTTGAGTGTTTTTCCTTAACCATGAATGATGACTGACAGGAGATCTTCAGTCACAAGAGGTGGCCATGAAAGAGATAACAGTGAATACCATTCAAATGCATTGATGAACTATTCTGAAACATGACATCAAGCATGTTGTTATTTAAGAAGCTAATGCATGAAGAACAAGAAAAACTTTGTAGACTTTGACATCCATAGAGATTTCTTTTATGGGAATACCAGCAACTCCCAATCTTCTTTCTAGGAAAGAAGCAATTAAAACTGTGGGTACTCATATGCCTATGGGGAGTGCCTCTGATTGAACTCAGAGAGTTATTAATGACAGTGAAATAAAGAAATCATGGAGTTTAGATGAGAGTCACTGGGAGAGCTGGAAGGCTGGTAGTTGTGGATTCATATGATCAAAATACATTATATCAATATATGAGATTATCACATAATAAATTAAATATCATGGAAAAACTTAGGAAAGGGTGGTTATTCTCACTGTTCATTTGTATGCATCTCTCCTTGCTAGGTGTCCTTTTAAGGTGTTTCAAAATTGATGCATAGCATCTATATTCCAGAGTTCACACACTATGGTATATATTTTGTGTAATGAATCTTGCATATATTCTACACAATACCTATACTAATATATCTGAGATGGTCTTATATAACTTGTAAAAACCTAAAACAAACCTCAAGGACCAAAATGAGAGTCTTTTAACCAATGGACAAGTGGAGATGTTTTTAGTGGAGATGTAATGAAACTTTGGAGACAGTCCCTTTTTCTTCATGAAATGTTCTAGTGTTCAATTAGTTTCAATGATGAATCTGAAAAGAAATTCAAATACATGTGTTTTACATTGTGAATATGCATCAGTATTATTTATTAATTAAAGAACAATATTCAGATGGCTATAGACATTGTCAAGAGGTTAATAACACTTACTGTTTTAGCAAAGGATCAGGGGTTATTTCCCAGCACCCATGTCAGGTGGCAGACAACTAACCTGCCACTCCAATTCAAGGGAACCTGATGCAATTGGCCTCACAGGCACATGCACCTATTTAAAACTACAAACACACACACTTGCACACATACAGATGCACAAACTCTTAAAAATTACTAAAATAATCCTGGAAAAAAATAAAATGTGTTTAAAATGAAAATTAAAATATTTTTGAAAATCAATTTAAAACTATTGTCATAGTATTTTTAGATTAAAATGTTTCCTATGTAATTCAAGTAATACATAAATAATAATTATTATACTGTTGGTGGCAATAAAATACATAAATATATCATTTATTACCAAAGAGCATAAAGTTGGGGAATTCAGCTGTGTAAGAGGAGCTGTTTTGATTACTACTTCAATTTCCTTGTAGTTCTACAATTTTCAATAGCATTGGCTCTCCTTAATCTGAATAGTCTGGCTCACTTGCATGTATGGACCATTCATATTTGATAGTTAGAAAAGCAAATTCTATATAGCAAATGAATAAATATTCTATTTGTACTGATTGTGTTCATATTCGTACATAACCAGAGTTTGAATGTAAGATTGGGTTTTAAGGAGCATATACCTAGAGATGAACTGAGCCAAATTTCCTTCTGGTGTTTATGGGCTTAGCATTCTTAATGGTACCAAGACATAATGAATCTATATCCATCAGGAAAAAGAGCATGACAAACCAAATGATATTTGGCAATATTAAAGATTAAAATATCATCATTGGACACTGAAAATAAAGCAGGTGAATAAAACGGCATATAAAGAGAAATTTGTGCTAAGCTCTGAAATCATACACCAGCTTAAAATTCATGCCTAAGACGCAAGGTGACTTGATAAATAAATGAGAACTTCAGGGGAGATACTTAGTAGGGGAAGTAACCCTCAGTGTGGCAGTATGTATTTATCTCATGGGAGACAATGAAGCCATCATCATGGATCAGTGAACATGGACATGTGCAAT